AAAATTCTATAACTTCGTCATATATATATATATATATACACTACCGGTCAAAAGTTTGCGAAAATTTTGAAATCTGCAAAGAAAAGGTCTAAATTCAAATGTTTACAGAACTGCGAAAAATCATTCAAATTGCATGAAAATTTGATATGTTCTATAGTGAACTCCCTACAGTTAGTTACATATGATCAAATTGCAATACTTTGTTTTTAGCGAACTGAATCTAGCTTTTTATCATAGGCTGTTTTTATGGTGAAAAAATTTGTTAAGTTTGAACACTTGCCAAATTCGCAAAAATTTTTTTTGTACTTTCTGTAAATAGAAAATAGTTAATGGAAATAGAATATATATATATATACCCCGCGGCAATAGAGAGCCTCATTACTTGAATATCATCGCGCGAAATTCCAATTCTGTTAACAGCTCCTAATCTTATTTGTAGTGGGTTCGAATCCCGCTATAACATACGCTTTATACTCTTCTTGTATTTTGTAAAATTGTTATGTTTTTCATCCTGAAAAGAGTTTTTAAGATCTTCTTTATTGTATTAACAAAGAAATGTATTTATGGACATTAAAATTTAATAATTCCCACTACCTCATAAAGAATAGATAAAACTCTTTCCATAGTGTGATATATCAGAGCATATTATCTTTAAAATGCTTTAATTAAACATTTGAATATTGAGAACAAGAATTTATCCTTCTTGTCTCTCTAACCTCTGTTATAATTCATACATTTTATTAGAATAAGAAACATTAACGTCATCTAACTTACATCAGCCATATACTGATTGCCTTCTGTACTGTTCATAAGCCCTCGACGACGCGGAACGGCTGGTCTAATGATCGAGTTTTTCCAATATATCAAACAGTTTAATCCCCACATGTACGCAATTGTATAAGACATCGAAATATGCAAAAGAATTGTTTTCTTTTTTTTCTTCAAATTCCTGGACAACAAAACTCTTTATTTTTATATTTATTAAAAGTATGAATTATTTAAGAATTGCATTGAAGATAAATTGCATTGGTCTTTAATTATAAAATCAAGTTAGAAAACTTAAATAAAAACTTTGTAATTTTAAATTTAAATTAAAATTTTGTAACTTAAAATAAAAAATAATTAAAAAAATAAATAACCTTAAAAAATAAAAAAAAATAAATTACCATAAATTTTTTTGTCTTTAGAAATTTAATTTAAATAATAATTTTAATTAAAAAAATAATATTTTTTAAATTGAACAAGCATAGTAAATAGTTATCAACTTTTTTAGAAAAGACATCAAAACGAACTCAATCGCTCCAGATGGGATTTGAACAGCGGACCTTTCTTTTAGAAGGTGGACAGTCTAAGTGTACAATCAGCTGGAATCAATCCAAGAATGCAAATAAGCTGGAAATTTTTTTTTTTACCTTAAAAGTAAATGATCAGACCCAAGAGATGATAATGACCCAAGAGGTCATTAAAAATCAGGTCTGGCGGCTAATTTATACCCTATCTAATGTTTTCAACCATGCTCTTTAAATTCTGATTTTAACTGTATTTTGATAGGAATTTTCTAGAGGCAAACTTCCCTTGTTAACTAATTCATGACTATTTTCTAAAATTTTTCTACTTTTTAACAATAAGCAAAATGGCTTTAGCCTAAAAACAATGCTTAAGTTCCAGGAGTACTGTGAGATTACTTCACTCACAAACAAACAATTTCATTGCACTCAAGAAACTGTGGTGCAATACCTATCCGAATTTGGTGTAGAAAAACTCTAAAAATTGGTAGAATGATTACTTTATTTCTAGTTTATACCAAATTTAGAGTACTTAAATACTTCGAAAGTTGTAGTTTAATCTTAAAACAGACAATTGATGAAGTTTACACCAATCTACAGTTAAGAAGTTGTATTGTTTAGATCTCCGAAAATTTGACAAATTAAGTTCTGCAGTGAAATGTTGGTAGGAAATATTTTTAACGTATAAGACATGTTTTTGATTACAGCTAGAAGTTTATATTCAAACAATCGTGCAATACCAAGATTGTGAAATATGACGGTTTGTTTATTTGAAGTGTACTGGTGAAATATAAGTTCTTGTCAGATTAAATTGACAAACTGGTTGTAGCTTACATAATACCAATTTGTCTAAATTATTTTACAGATTTCTAAAAAAATATCGATTTTGGTCGATTGCTCGCCATGTAATTTCAATCTTCCTCTTGGATTAGCTTTAAAAACTACTCATATTAACTATTATAAAGTGCATAAAAGTTTTCAGTTGTATAAGATATATTTTGATAAGATTTACGCGAATCTCTGAATGATAAAAAAAAAACAATTTTATAATATTTAACTTCCATTCACTTCGGTTTAGCTCGAATTCATATTAAGATTCTATCTGAGCTAGGTGTATGTTTGATTGACAAACTAATTTTATTTTATTAAATATCATATAAATACATCATAATTTTTGGATTCAGGCTTTAGATTGTGTCATAAAAGTAACTTAAATGATTGTTATGTGCACCATAAGTTACTATAATCATAAATTATTTTATTTTATCATTATAATTTCTAAACAACCATACTTTCTCCAATTCCGTAGTTTCCTTATTTCTGTGACTATTTGAGCTTTTCTTGAAAAAAATATAATGATCCGTTACTTCGAAATCCATTCTATTTTTCAAATTACCCTTTTACTTAGACGTTTTGATAAATATATATCCCCCCCCCCTTTTTCTCCATATTTTGTATTTCTTTTAGTCAAAATAGGGAGAGAATATTGCATTTTTATAATTTATGGTTATGAAATGAAGCATGAGACACCGCTGTCTTTTTCTGCATTAAGGGTAAAGTTTTCCAATATCGGCTCACTTTGAAACAATAATTTTTCAAATTTGCAGTTATTTAGATTTCAGAAAAACAGTTATCAATCATTGAAATGTTTTAAATTTATTAAATCGGTTATTCATATAATTTTGAATATGAATGAAAAAGAAATAATTTGAGACTTGCTTTTTTGGATTTTATATTTTAGTGCAAATATGATTTTGACAATCTAATAGAATTTTTTAATAATTTTCAGGCTGTTTTATATAATTAAAATCACCAAACTATATTTTTACTTGTAATTAGAGCATCAGAAAAAAATATAGAAGAGAGACACCGGTGTCTTATCGGCGTCAAAGGTTTATCAGTGACTACAAACAGTGATTAAAAAAATATTATTTTATGCCATGTTCAGGCATTTGGTAGGATTAGACTTTCCATTCCAACAGTATACTGTTCTTAAAAACGCGAGTTCTGCAAAACAATTAACTATCAAAGTAGAAGAAGAAAGGAAATATGAATATAAGAACAGTTATTGTTTGATCTCAACATTTGTCATAAAATCTAATTTAAAGAAAATAAGAACCAATATTTGTAGGATTCAAGCGTAATGATAGGCACAATAAATTATTAATTTAATATAAATTATTATGTAAATTAGAATACGTTATAAATTGAGATAGTTCTGTTGCTAAATTACATATTTCGATTAATACAATAGACCATGATAACTTGAGTCATATGTAACTATAATAAA